TTACGCAGCAAGAGCAATTCATGACTACTACAGGTTTTACTGTGACTGACATTGGAATTATTGACAAGAGCAATGCTGCCCAAATACAATCTTTTCTTCAAATTAGTTGTTTTGAAATTCCAAGTAACAGTCCATGAGATGCTGATAATCATGCTTTCCCTACTCGTCTGCTGACAAAAACTCTTCCAAATGATGAGATCTGCACAAGAGACTGGTTATGCTGGAATATGGAAAAACAATCTCTGTACTGTGAACCCTGCTTCATTTTGAACAAAAGTGCTGCAAATGCAAATGCATCAGTTCTCTCTGATCAATCAGGATGGAATGTCAACAGAGGTTGGAGGAAATTGAAAGACCAAATACCATCACATGAGAGTTCAACATCACACAAAGAAAACTGTTGCATGGAAATCAGCCAGTAGGGCAGCATCAGCTGAAAGTTCAGTTGAGAATTTACTCTTGACTGAAATCTCAACAGAAACTAATCACTGGGAAAAAAACTTCCTGAGTGCATCCTGAATGTCATCCTTTTTCTTTCTGAGTGGGGATTGGCTTTCTTTGGTTCCAGTCAACGTATTGGTGATCGTGCAAATAGAAACTTTCTAGGCATAGTTGAGCTCCTCAGCAAATATGACCCACTTTTATCAGAGCATATTAAACGTGTTTGAGAATCACAAGAGAGTCAAAAACACATGCAAGTCCATTATCTCCCCACATTCATACATAACAAGTTTATTGAGCTATGTGGGTCGTTCGTACAAACAACAATTTTTGATGAGATTCAAAATGCCAAGTATTTTTCAATCATTGTTGATGCCACTCCAGATTGTCCACAAGGAACAGACTACTATGGTTATTCAATATGTTAAGATTGTAGACAGCTCAAAATTTTCAATTGAAGAAAGTTTTATTTTGTTTGATAATTTCATGAGAAAAACTGGAAAAGGAATTGCTGCTCAAGTACTAGCAATTCTAGAAGGTTTTAAGTTAGATTTTCAAGTCTGCATTGGTCAAGCCCATGAAAATGGATCTAATATGGCTGGGAAGTACAAAGATGTCCAAGCAGCTCTGCTTGAACATAATTCAAACTGTATTTTCTCCAGCTGTGGAAACTATACACTAAACCTTTTAGGCGTTGACTGTGCTGAATCATGCAAGGAGGCAATTACTTTCTTTGGAACTGTTCAGCAAATGTACAATATCTTCAGTAGCAGTCCACAAAGGTGGGAAATTCTGAAGCAATATCTTCCTCTTTCACTGCATGGGATGTCCAAAACTAGATGGTCTGCACTGATTGATGGTGTTCAACCAGTTGCGCGGCATTTGAATTCAGTGAGAAAGGCTTTAAATGAGCTTCAATCTCTCAATCTCACATCACAGGCTTAAACTGAATTTCAGTCTAATCAGAAGCACATGTCCAAATTTGAATGCATTCTGATGTCATCTTTGTGAATGAAGCTACTTACAATGATCCACCAAACTAATCTGGTAATTGAAGCACGCAATGCTACACTTGAGGTTGAAAGGGATAGCACTGAAATTCTTATCAATGACATTCAACAGATTCGTGAACAAAGGGATGCGATCCTGACTGAGTCCAAATTAGTAGCACAGAATATTGGCATTTCATCTGAGTTCTACATCAGTCACAACTTACCTACTGAATCCCATGCCGAGCAGCATTATAGGGTCAATGTCTTCCTTGTCATCATTGACTCTGTTCAATCAGGTCTTACATATCAATTTGTGTCACTGCAACTAATCTGTACCCTTTCGGGGTTTCTTTGGTAGTTCAACAGACTGAGCAATGAAGATCTACTTTCTTCAGCTGAACAATTTCAGCCACAGTACAACAAATAAATCTCAAAAGAGCTCAGCGACGAGGTCATCTTCCTCAAATGAATATACTCCAAAAACTTTAAATTGGATTGCAAATGCCAAGCAAAAGGAATTGCTTCAAGAATTACTCGAACTTGGACTCTCTGGGGTGTTTCCTAATATCACAATTACATTGCGTATTTTTGTCAGTTTGTCTGCATCAGTGGCTTCAGGTGAATGCACCTTCAACGTATTGAAGCAGGTAAAGAACAATCACTGTTCATCTATGAGACAAGAGTATTTGAATAGGCTCACCATGCTTAATATCAACTGTGACCATCACACGAAAGCTAGATTTTCCCTCAATAATTAGTGCATTTGCACAGAAAAAGGCTAAAAAAGCATTTGTTAAATAAAAAAAAATCAAATTATGTCTCACTCTATTTTGGTCCCTTATTTTGTTTTCATGTGTCACCATTTTTTATCTTTATTATGGCGAGGGGACTCAAAAGCTGGAAGTGGCCCAGGCCTCTCTGGACCTCTGAAAGGTCCTGGGTGTGGGAGTCAATCAAAGTAGAGAAGTAAAGTTGTTGGCTAGGAAGATGTCAGAACTAAAGAAAGAGAAAACAAGTTTGTAGTGGAGGTAGCTGGTCTTGTCACAGGATTCCCACCAGAAGCTCCATGGCAGGAGTGGAGGAAACAGATGTTGGGGTGATCCTGGGTACGAGGTTTGCAGGGGGGCTTTGTGATGGGAGAAGGGAGCAAAAGAGTCAAGGGTGGAGGAGTGAAGCATGGAGAGAATCAACACCATATTGATGGAAGAAAGGTCAGGGAGGAGATGGCTGAGAGCAGAACAGAAGTCACCAGCACGGAATCACTGGAAACCAAATAAGAGTCAGATGACAGAGTGAGAGGGAGAGGACAGAGGTCAGAGAAAGAGAACTCAGCAACACAAAGATTAGGAGATAAGTGCTTAGTGACAGCCTGGCCAATGAATGACCTTTTGCTGATTGCGTGGATTGACTCAGAGATGTAGGTCAAAGGAGGAGGTGAGTGTGAGCAAACATCTGGCTTAGATTTCAAATGGACATCAACATGGAAACTGAAGTCACCAAAAATATTGTGAAGAGAGGAAGAACAAGAACAGGGAGTCAAAAGCTTAAAGGAAGGCTGGTGGGGAGGACCTGAGTGGACAGTAAATGACAGAAACATGGAGGGGGAGAGGAGAGAAGCATCAGACGCAGTGCTGCTCAAAGTGTGTCAGAGCAGGCGGAAGGGTTTGTAAGTGGCAGGAATGAGAGAGGAGAAGCCCAAGACCCTGCCATCCAGGATGAGGAGTATGACAAAAGGAGAGGCCTCCATGAGACAGGGCAGCTGCAAGGGTAGTGCCAAATGAAGGGGTCCAAATCTCTGTGAGAGCCAGGAGGTGGAGGGAGCAAGATATGGAGAGGTCGTAGCTGGCTGGGCTCTTTTTAGAGATGGAATGGGCATTCCAGAATGAGCAAGAGAAGGGAAGGGAGAAGGGTGAGGAAGATGGGTAAAGTACCTGAGATTAGAAGTGATGTGGTGAGACGGGCAGAGTGGTTGGTGAGAAGGGTATAGGAAATGGAGGGAGAGCTAGAGCTGGGGCAGACGGCACCAGAGGGGAAGAGAAGAATACAGATGTGGGACATAGATTTCTGCTGGTGGGAAGAGAAGGGTGAAGAAGGGGAGAGGACTAGGTAGAGTTACTGGCAACTGTAGAGCGGTGAAAGTAACAAAGAAGAAGAAATGGAGACAGTGGTAGGAAAGGGAAAAGAGGAGAATGGAGGAAAGAGGAGGAGGGTGAATGCTATTAGGGAAGGGTGTGATGAGCAACATGAGTGAGTGGCAGATGGCGAGGATTACAAACAAATTCAGCAATGGATAATTAATGGGAATCAATAAGATCAATGGCAATGAGTCTGTTCCATTTTGAATTACACAAAATACCATCTACACCCTGAAATGTTGAGATCCAGAACACCTGCAATCAGTTACAGATTCCGTAGGTCAGTGATCTCTAGTGGTTGTAGTGTGAGAACATAAACACAAAGAGCCATGCTTTAAGCAGTAACTAGAGAAGTCCCTTTCTTTATTAGGATCCCCCTGGAATATACCCTGGTCCTCTCTGGTTATTATGGAGGACCAGGAAATCTAGAATTACTCCACATCTCCCTTTCTCTATAAGAAAATATTAAAACTTAGCTTATAAACCATTGTGTATAAATGCAACAATTCAAAATAAACTTCAAGTTCCTTAAAACTATTTACTTTAATATGTCCCCTTATCAGTTGTTTATAAATAGTCCTGAGCAATGTTTCAAAGATAAAAATTTTTAGGGGATCTGATGAATCTTTCAGACTGTGTTCTTACTTCTGTTAAGTTTGCGCATGGAGTTCCCTATGAAGAGTGATCACTTCCTGAAAGAGTACATGTAGGTCACAGATTCCCTTTTTGTTGTGTAGGGGAAATAATGAAAATGAACCCTATTCCTCCAGTGAAGTCCTTCTGGAGCCTCCACTAGGTAGGATCTGGGAGTTTCTGCTGAGTTATGAATAGTTCCAAATGTCTCAGAGGTTTTGAGCTAAATTTTATTCCTGGTCTCAGTTGAAGTAGTGCTTTAGTTCTGTGCCAAATATTGAAGTTTTATTGCTGATGAACTTTTATTTCAGCATCCCCATTTTAGAAAGTGCTTCACATAGGTCACTTAGGTTTAAGTTGTATTAGTGCAACAGGTATGAGCATCTTTAGTCATATTCCCATCAGAAGTTCTGCTGGAGATAGCCCAGGTGCGAGCAATGTTGACGGATATGTTAATAGTGCCTTATTTTTGCAGAAGTCTTTTAAAAGTCTGCACTACTCTCTTCACTCTTGTTGCTCTGGGGGCAATATGGAGAACTAGTATGGTGTTCAAAATTGATGTCTCATGCAAAGTTAGAAGTGTTTCAGAGGTTAATAGAGGCCCATTAACCAACGTGAGGACTTCAGGAACTCCATGTCTAGCAAATATTTAATTTCTGGATGACCTGTGCCTGCAAAGTCTGTGTAAGTATAGCCAAGTCAATGTACCTGGAGAAGTAATCAACAACAATAATGTTTGTATATCCTTTCTGTAAAAACAAATCTGTTGCCAAGGTTTGTCAGGTAGCTTTGTAGAGACTAATGGCCTTCCATTTATAATTACTTTTTAAAAGTGCATATTATTGAAATGATCTTTCTTTTTGTTTTTAAGAGGAACTCCAGAGGAGAAGCGGTGAGTTTGCATTGATTATTGACCCTTATTTTATTCAGCTTTCTGGGGCTATAAGCCCATGTAAGTAAATCTGGTATATGAGCTGCCTGTAATTATAGCATTGGAATTTTGGGAGCAGCATCTGAAATGGTTCATCCCAGGAGCAATTCATCAGAGACGAGTCAAGAAGCATGGAGGGAGGAATGGAGTAGGCAGATCTATGGCTCCATAGTCCTACAACTGGTCATCTGAACCTTTTAAAGGGCTGATGTAAATCAGTGGTTCTCTACCTTTCCAGACTACTGTACCGCTTTCAGGAGTCTGATTTGTCTTATGTACCCCAAGTTTCACCTACTTGCCACAAAATTAGACATAAAAATACAAAAGTGTCACAGCCCGCTATTACTGAAAAATTGCTGACTTTCTCATCTTGTCTATATGAAATTTTAGTTTGTACTGACTTCACTAGTGCTTTTCATGTATGCTATTGCAAAACTAGGCAAATATCTAGATGAGTTAATGTTAGGGTGACCAGATATCCCGACTTTATAGGGACAGTCCTGATTTTTGGGTCTTTTTCTTATATAGGCTCCTATTAACCCCCACCCCGTCCCGATTTTTCACACTTGCTGTCTGGTCGCCCTAGTTGATGTACCCACTGAAGACCTCTGTGTACCCTCGGGAACATGCATACCCTGGTGAGAACCACTGATGTAAATTACTCCCTCCACTCTCCTGCCCAGCACAGCCCTGGGAGACACTGTGCCCTTTGGTTCTTCTGGAGAGGTGTGGTTCTCCACCCCACCTGCATATATTCTCCATGCTAAAAGCACAATCTAGACCTCCAGTTATAATTAGTTTGAAAAAGTGCATATATTGAACTGTTCTTTGCTCATTGAGTTTTGTTGTTTGTTTGTTTTTGTTTTTAAAGAGGAACTCCAGAGGACAGTTGGTGAGTTTGCACTGATTTCTGATCTTACTGTATTCAGGTTTGCAGGGTAAGTAAATCTGGTATATGAGCTGCCTGTAATTACAGCATTGGAATTTTGGAAGCAGCATCTGAAATGGTTCATCCCAGGAGCAATTCAGCAGAGATGAGTCAAGAAGCATGGAGGGAGGAATGGAGTAGGCAGATCCATGGCTCCATAGCCCTATAACTGGTCATCTGAAACTTTTAAAGGGTGATATAAATTACTCCTTCCCCTCTCTTGCCCAGCACACCCTTGGGAGACACTGTGTCCCTTGGTTCTTCCCCTGGAGAGGTGTGGCTCTCCACCCCCACTCCATGTACGCTCCATGCTAAAAGCACAATCTAGCCCTCCATTTATAATTATTTTGAAAAAGTTCAGATATTGAAATGTTCTCTGTGTTGTTGTTTTTTAAAGAGGAACTTCAGAGGAGAAATGGTGAGTTTGCATTGATTTCTGAATATTTATAATTCTATTATATAATTTTTGTTGTTATGGAAGCACTTCTCATGGTTTCATAGAAAAGAGTGAGTTGACTTTCGCAGCTGAGGCAAGGATTCAGTCACTTGCATACTGATTTGTTTGGTTTAAACTGGGACTGCAAACACTACTGTGAACTATTCAGAAATGTGTGGTTATTTCACAGTAATATATAATTGAGGCTAAGGTTGTCTGGGAGTCTTAATTGCGTATTTTCATCCTTTAAAGTCTTTGCATGGTCCTTAAATTAAATCTTAATTCTGAATGTCTTGGATTTGCAATATCTGTTTTGGAGATTAAAACATTTCTGTAACATATTTGAGCCTCAAACTACCGATATCTACTTTCATTCTTAACTTCAAGTTGAAATAATGTCATGGCCGGGTCATGGGCAGTCAGACCTAGTGATCAGAGCAAGAATGCATGGTCAAAAAGACAGGAGTTTAGGCACGGCCGGATTAACTTTTTTTGGGTCCGGCGCCAAACGTATTTATGGGCCCCCATTAGGGAAATGGGGCATGTGATGGGGGGCGGTCCGCAGAGCAAGGGGCCGGTTGGGGGCAATGAGACACAGCACAGCAGGAGTGGCCTCACTCAGCCCAGCACAAGGGCACTGTTTACAAACCCCAAACTGCTAGACACACACTGGCCCGCCCAACCCTGCGCTGCCAGTGTGCCCCTTCCACACTGCCCTCCTGCCCAGTGCCTTGCCCTTATGCCAGCGCCCCCTCACCCAGAGAGTTCCCCCGCAGATCCCTATGCCCAGCACCCCCTGCCTAGAGACCCCTCCCTCTGACATTCCACCACAACTACACAGCACCCTGCACACCATACCCCCTGCCCAGCTCCCACACCCACAGATCCCCTACTATCCAGCACCCCCTTCACAGTCCCACCATCACAGCTGTGCAGCGCCCATATTCCTGAGGGAATTCTGCATCAAATTCTGGGCATAATATTTTAAAATTCAGATTTTTTTTTATAATAAATAAATGTGGAAGCTCCACCATGGCAGTGGGGAGCACAGGCCACTGGCTGCATGGAGGTGGGAGATAACCCTGCAGCCTCCCCTGCCCCCCTGGGACAGGGACTTGGCAGTGAGACTGAACCTGACCCTGACACAGCACAAGGGCCAGGCCTGCCACAGAAACACCCTGGTGCCCTGCCCCTTTTGTGCCAGGCACACCAGATGTGGGCAGGGAGGCTCAGCCCAGCAGCAGGATCCAAGTGCTGAGGGACTTAGTGTGGGGGTATCCAGATGGGGTAAGAGGGTTCTGTGTGGGGGTAAGAGGGTTCTGTGGGGGGCAGTCTGGGGGCAGGCAGCTCAGTGGGGGATCTGGATGCATAGGGAGGTGCCAGGTGCAGGGG